GTATGCCAAAGCTTCAAAATGTGAATTTGGCAAGTCAGAAGTAGATTACTTGGGTCATAGAGTTACAGCTACAGGAATCCAAGTGATGAGTGAGAAGATAGATGCCATTCAGAAATGGATAGCACCTGAGGATCAAACTCAGTTGAAGAGTTTTCTAGGGCTCACTGGATTCTATCATAGATTTGTGAAAGGTTTTGCTCGACTAGCTCAGGCCTTGACTTCCATGTTAGGGAAAGGTCAAAAGTGGAGATGGGGAACAGCTCAAGAGTTAGCTTTTCAAGCATTGAAAGATGCTTTGTTACACGCACCTATTCTCAAGTGGTATGATCCTAACCGTTCTATCAAGTTGGCCACTGACGCATCAGGTACAACAGTAGGTGGCATACTTCAACAAGAATGGGAGGATGGATGGCATCCAGTTGCTTTCTATTCTCGAAAGTTGGTGGCGGCGGAACAAAATTATCACACGACAGAACGGGAGGAGTTAGCTATCGTGTTGGCAACCAAACATTGGAAGCATTATTTGGGTGATAAGGAGTTTGTGGTGGAGACTGATCATAAACCCTTGGTTTATTTGGAAACTCAGAAGGATCTGTCCAAACGACAAATTCGATGGGCAGAGTGGCGTCAACGCTTCAACATGAAGATTGTGTACGTGGAGGGAAAGAAGCAACTTGCAGATGCTCTCACACGCATGCCTTGTTTGAATCATGTTGCAGAAGTGAAAATTCAGGCGGATTGGTGGAGCAAGATGTCACAAGCCACAAAGGAGGATGAAGAGATCACTCGAGCACTACAAACTGGAAAGGCAGAGAAATCTCGAGGTTTGGCGTTTTACAATCAGCGTATATGGATTCCACAAGATCACGATTTGCGCACAATGATTTTGGCAGAAAGTCATGATACAGCCATTGCAGGTCATGTGGGAGTGGAGAAAACCGTGGAGAGTATACAACGAGTGTACTATTGGCCCAAAATACGTGAGGATGTGGAGTCTTACGTTCGAAGTTGTGTTGCTTGTCAACAAAACAAGGCAAGTAATCAAAAAACAGCGGGTTTATTACAACCTCTTCCTATTCCCGAACAGCGGTGGGAACATGTCACCATGGATCTTGTATGTGAGTTACCAAGGACTTCGTTAGGAAATGATTCAGTAGTGGTTTTTGTGGACAAATTGAGCAAGATGATTCACATCAGGCCAACCACAAAAACAGTAACAGCTCCACAACTAGCTCAATTGTATCTAGATGCAGTTTTTGTGAATCATGGCTTAAGCAAAGTGTTAATCACGGATAGAGGTACTCACTTCACTAGTTTATTTTGGAAAACTTTGTTTAGTTTTTTCAAAACAAAACTAGCAATGTCAACGGCCTATCACCCTCAAACTGATGGACAAACTGAGAGGGCAAATAGAACCATAGAGGATATGCTACGAGCATTCACATTAGAAGAGTAAGAAGAGTGGGACAACCTTTTGCCACTTGTGGAATTTGCATATAACAATTCTGTTAATGCATCCACAAAAGTGTCTCCATTTTTTCTTATGTATGGAGCTCATCCGATAACTCCTTCAAGTTTGATGAGACTTCCGAAAGGAGAGGAGTTTTCGACCAAAGTTGCAGCAGTCAACGACTTCGTGGAGCATATTCACCGAGGACTACATCAGGCCAAGGAGAAGTTGGTGATAGCTCAAAATCGGCAAAAGCAGCATGCCGATGCTCATCGTAGAGAAGTGATTTTTGAGGTTGGAGATCATGTTTGGTTATCTACAACGAATTTGTCTCTTGTAGGAACACCAAAGTTAAACCCTAGGTTCATTGGTCCATTTTTGGTTTTGAAGCGTGTTGGTGAAGTGTCATACGAGTTGGAACTTCCGTCACATATGAAAATACATCCAGTATTTCATGTGTCACGATTGCGAAAACATGTACCACGACCAAAACAATTCACCAACCAACCAGCACCACCTCCTCTTCCAACCTTGATAGCAGATCATGAGGAGTTTGAGGTAGAAAAGATACTCAAGAAACGTCTTCGAGGTCATAAATATCCCAAAGTAGAGTATTTGATTCAATGGAAAGGCTATCCATCGTATGAATCAACTTGGGAACCAGCTAAAAATTTAGCAAATGCACCTTTGATAGTTCAGGAGTTTGAACGTATGTGCAACGAGGACGTTGCATCTTAAAAGGAGGGAGGTTTGTAACCATCTTTAGTTAGTTAGAACTAAAGTAGAGGTTACTCTGAATATTGATGTAGATACTTTAGTGTGCACTAGTCATAGCTGCCACGTCAGCGATCCGCGCACTTGGTAGGTACAGAGTGGATGTGTTGGTTGACAATGCCACGTCAGCAATCCGTGTGCTTGTAGGTAAGGATTGAGTGTGTTAGTTAGTGTGTTAGTTGGGTGCGCCACGTCAGCGATCCGTGTGCTTGTTAGGGTTATCCGCCACGTCATCCATCCACTAGGAGTGGTATGGATGGTGGGGATTAGATCTTATCACCTTGTACTTGTTGATGAGAGCTATATAAGGGAGGGGAGAACCATTGTTGGTATCTCTCATCTTCAGAGTTTACGTTTCTATCTTCGAGTGAACTTCTTTCTAAACCCTAGTGTTACAAGACCATGTTCATTGTCTTGAATGATCCAAATGTTTGAACTTTTTCTCTTGTTGCTGATGCTAGTACTCATCGCGGAGTGCCCCTTCTCAACCAGTGGATTCGATTGTGTGTGAAAGGGAAACTCTACAATCTCCACCTGGTCTTGATCCTATTCTTTGAGCGACATACTGCTCAAAATTATGTCAAGCTCATGAATCTGTTGTTGAATACTGTGTGTCTAACGTGGTGGTACAAGGTCATCTCGATCAGCTCGGATGGAGAGAACACAATGACTAGTTATTGTGTACCACAATCAAAACAATTCACAAACCAACTAGTGTTACCTCGTTTATCAACCTTGAAAACTGATTAAGAGGAATTTGAGATAGAAAAGATACTCAAGAAACGGATTCAAGGTCACAAGAATGCCAAGGTTGAATATTTGGCTTAATCAAAAGGATATTCATCATTCGAATCAACTAGAAATCTAGCTAATGCACTTTTGATAGTTCAAGATTTTGAACGGATGTGCAACGAGTACGTTGCGTCTTAAAAAGAAGAGAGATTTGTAACCATCTTTAGTTAGTTAGAACTAAAGTAGAGGTTACTAAAAATATTTATATAGTTACTTTATCGTGCATTAGTCATAGCTGTCACATCAACGATCCGTGTGCTTGGTAGGTAGAAAGTAAGTGTGTTAGTTGACAATGCCACATCAACAATCCGTGTGCTTGTTAGGTAAGGATTGAGTCTCATTAGATTTTTGCTAGCCTTCGTTGATGATGATGGACAAGATGTAGTCAAAAAATAATTTACAATTGGATATGTGTTAACACTTAATTACGAATACATTAGTTTAAGATCTACTTTGCAAAAATGTGTAACTTCATTGATAATGAAAACTGAATATCGAGCACTAACATAAATAACTAAGAAAGCTAATTGATTGAAGTGACCTATCATTGAGAGATTTTAGAGCCGGAGGTTGTTGAAATTCATTGCAAATGTCACAATGCATAACATTTGTTGTAAATCAACAAATTGTACAATAGAATGAAACAAATCAACATGAGGTACACTTTAATAGAAATGAAAATTTAATCTAGATGCGTTGATCAAATTATTTTTTAGTAAGTATTACTAAACATTGTGTTACTTTGCAAGTTGCAGTGAAGAGCAAGAATAGAGTTCACTATCAGTATTTTTTTTTCTATATATATTTCAACTATATCATGTTTGGCTATAACAAATTCTAATAAGCTCTAGTTTAAAAATTGACCATATTATGTTTCTTTCTTATACTTCATGCGGAGAGATTATATAGATTTTGGTGATTATAGTCTCCATTACCATCAAAACCAATATAATGTATCTACATGAAGTTTTAGAAAAGGAGAGATTGTTAGTACTTAGCTCATATTTTTTGATATCTCAAGTTAACTTGATCTTAGTTAATGAAGTTGCTTAAAATATCATTATATAAAAGAGTTCACAAAAACTTTGTACTTTGTATTTCCCTAACGTAATCCGGAAGGGTGAACCACGCATCTCCAATATCGTTGTGCTGCGTGAGTACATCTCATGTGTGTAATATTATGCAACAAATGTGTGAGCTAAAAGTATCATTACATTTTCTGAAATGTCATAGTACTCTTCATTGATAAACTAAACTGTAATGAGATAAAATGCTATACCTTCAACAATATATATACATATACATACATGATCAGTATTATTCTGAGTTTTGAACAATTCTAAGATCATAATTTGGTATTTTCTGTAATTAAAAATATTTCGCCAGTTAGAAAAGTTTATAGTAACTAGTAATGATTTGCAAGGAGGTGAGAGGGGAGTGTCATTGAAGACATAGCGGTGTAAAACAAGAGAGATAGGCTCTCACCTGGCTTTTTTTTATACTTGGCTAGTTGTTTTATGGTGCCATTGTTTTGTTACATATAAAAGTGGATGATGTTTAATTACAGTAATGATTCAATGTGCCTCCTTCATTTGCTCCAGTGGAAATCATTAGTATTGCCATGAAAGGTAAGGATGTTAAAAATTTCGATGACACTCCATGTTATGACTTGCATACATGGCTGGAATGATGAGAATGATATATCTTTTATGTTAGGGCTTTCGGTTAATTCCTGTACAAAATGACCTTTTAGTACATGTGTGGGCGTCTCGACAATCGGCTGATGGTTTGCATCATATTAAACTAGCTGCAATGGAGAAAAATTGAAATGTCAACGGCCCAGCCCCAGAAAGTTAGCGGACCTTCATTGTTGTGCACGCTCGTTACGACCAGAGCAGTGGTTGTGTGCAAAGGCCGTAAGTACGTATGGAACCAGGGTCGACAGACTGGACAAAGAGTAGGGGAAACAGTGGTGGGTTGGATCAGACGTAGATGCTCGGACAGTGTAGTCTTTTGGTTCTGTGTCTCATTCGGGCATCTACTGTCCGCAGGGTGTTTTGCCTTTCGAGCGCCAGACTTTGCCACTTGTGACGAGCACGGAGTGTCGTCTGAGGAGGCAACGAGATTACCAGTTTTCCACGGTCATTCATTAGCTTGTGAAGTGAGGCAGTCGGGGAAGTGGGTCGAAAATTTGAACTCCGATCGGTTACTGATATGATATATTCAGAATAAGCGTCTGCCGATACTTTGAGTACAAGACGAGGCGAGAGAGAGGGACCACAAGGTTACCATGGCCGGCGACGCGGAAGAGAAGACGGGAGGGCTCACAGGCCCCAGCATAGAAACTCAACGAGCAGAGCGCAATATCTGGCTGCTGAAAGTCCCCAATGCAGTTGCGTATCACTGGAAACAACCTCCTCCCATTCTTGGGAAGCTTATTCTCTCCCTGGATCCCATGGGAGATCCAGATGACCCCAACACCACTCAGGTTTGGACTCTGTACCGTCAACATCGTTCTGTAGTGTGCAACTGATAAAACACCGCGGTTAATAACACACCAATTTAGGTCGAAGGAAATGGTATCACGTTTAGCTGGAGAGGCCTTAAGCAGGGTTCACTCCATTGTATCTTATGCAGACGTAGGAGGTATTTTTAGGGTTTTTTCAGATTTTTCCGAACAACGTCGTCGATAAGTTGAGTGTCGATAAACGAGGTAAAGTCGTGTGAAAAAGGAACTGATATGTACGCCTCGTAGCAGTGTCACAATAAAGCGAGCAAATTTGTCGTCAGTAGCATTCACAGAGTTCCTTGGTGTATGTTCCAATTTTTTAAAAATTCAGGAGTCCGCTCAGTTCCTATCCCTTTTCAGCATTTGCAACTGCGAAAGGCATTCATTGCCACATTGGAAAAGCCGTGCTTACAGCCGTATTCAAGTACTGATGAGCACATTACAACTGCGTATCTCAGTTTACCATGGACGTGTCGGCGAAAGACCCTGATGCTCCGCCTAAAAGCTACGACCTTAACTTTACCAAAGATGTGGTGCCAATGCACATATTTTCTGAAACATCTCAAGGTGAGTTTGCAAGAAATATTTGTGTACTTATTGCCTCTTTTGAGACCCAATAACGTAAGGAACTTCCGTTTGCAAGCATCATCCTGCCTTCAAATATTCCTAAGCAGGCGTAGCATGCCCTGAGAAAGCCTGATAGAGCAACGAGGGAGCATGGAATGCCGACGGTTAGCTTTCGTTATTGCATGACTTGAGTGGATCCAATGTCTGTGTTGGTTGGTGGTTGAAGCAGGCGACGTGATCATTGGGATATGTCGCAGGCAAGATCGCAGTAGAAGGGAAGGTTGAGCACAAATTCGACATGAAGCCAACAAGTTTGGGTGATGAAGAGTACCGGAAGCTCTGTCGAGAACGGTTGAATAAATCCCTGGTCAAGAGTAGAACGCTACAGGTTGAGTACTCAACACCGTTCTCTTGAGTTGACCATGAAGTCTGTTGTGGGAGTACTGACGGAGAATCTGCTTCACTACGTTAAACAAAGAATGATATGTTTTTGTTCGTGATCGGGTGTCCGGTGCAGAGGCTCGAGAACGATAGAGGTAGTTTCATGAGGCCCATGCCCATGGCGATGTGGTCGTCAACAGGAGCCAAGGTAAACCCAGTATATTATCTCTTCTCCATCTGTCGTTCTTGATTTGAAGTAAGATTTTGTTTTTTGGTAGAAGGCTGCTGCAGACACTAGGTATTGGTCTTAACAAGTTTTCAGTCGTGCATTTAAGTAATGCTTTTATCCCCGTCACTGAAGGACAAGAAGAAACCTATTCCACCTCCGAAGCAACCGGAGGGTAAGAGGATTAGGAGAGAAAGGAATGAGCTGGAGGACATTGTCTTTAAGCTCTTTGAACGTCAACCTAATTGGACTCTAAAGCAACTGGTACAGGAAACGGATCAGCCTGTGGTGAGTATTGCTGACCGAATACCTTGGTGTTCACCTTGTTGTAAGCTCTGTCCCGTTCGTATTAAACATGAGATCTGTTCGCTTTGTACTTTTCTAAGTCTTCTGTGTTTGAAACAATTGAGTCTTGATTCCGAAGTTCCAAACTGTGATTGAGCGTCTCATTTTCCTTCAAAGTTCCTTTAAAATTCATGTGAAGTTTTTGATAAACCATCACTCGGGAACATCGTTACCTGAAACATAGTAACCAGTTTTGCGGTACAAGTGGATTTCAGATGAAGTATTACATTGTACCTAGAGCTAATGCAAAGTCGAATTGGCGCTGCTTGAAATTGTTTTCTTGCACTTGCATACAACCTGAGTGTATCAGGTTTCGGATGCAGTGTCCTGAGGTAATGTTCCCAAGTCCTACTGGTTCTAATCATTTCATTCGAATCTTTTGGCCACTCTATGTAGGCCTTTTTGAAAGAGGTGCTCAATGATCTCTGTATATATAACAAGAGAGGAGCCAATCAAGGTACCTACGAGCTCAAACCAGAATATAAGAGGACAGGGCAGGATGAGCAAGGCGCGGATGTCAAGGATTCAAGCGCCAAAAGTTAGTGATAATAGTAATGATCTTAGTTTTTACCTGCTGTGCAAGTATCAGAGGTCCATCTTTGTAATTATACTGTAGTTCATGCATTTCGCACTTGTTTTACTGTCTTGCAACACGTCAGATGTTTAAGCTCATCGAAGGATTTCATGACAGTTTAAATGAGGATGCGTCAAGCTTACCTTAGATTGAACGTGGTTAGGGGAAGAGGGATCGTGTGTCATATGCTGACGAGTCCTTTGTATTTTAAATGAGCAACTACTGAGCAACTAATGAGCATAGGCAGCCTCTGCCTTCCGCCTCTGACATATATCTTCATTTCATCGATCTGTTTCTATCCATTTTGTCTTACTTCAGGTGTTAGACACACATGTCCCTGCACTACTAAATTGTCATATACTGAGAGAAGATGGGTATTTGGTACCTGTCCCTCGAGAAAAGACATTTCGATCTTAGCCACACAAAACATTTCACACGGAAGCTCGAAATGGTCAACACTGCCAGCGTTGAGCCCGGTAGCAGGCCTTGATTTGATGAAATCTTGAAATGATTCACGATTGCAAGTCTGTATCTAAAATATTCTTGGTTTTAAATAGAGTTTAGCGGTGTCCTGATGTAGAGGTGTGCAGAGCTTCTTCTTGAAATTACTCTATCTTGTGAGGGTATGTAATATCCGAAGAGCAGCACCGCATATGGTGACTTTTGTAAATCTGAATTACGTATGTACTATCGCTATGAGGTACACTGTGAAGGTCGGAAATGCACGCTTTAGGTTTCTTTCTAGTTGTGTTGTGTAGTGTCTGGATTACATGGTCACCTGTATGAATTGAGGTAGAACCGTCGAGTTTCCATGGGCCTAACGGATATCCCAATGTAGAACTTAAAGGAATCCGTGATGCCCATGACTTGTTTCCGAACGAATACAATACGGATACCCGGCACGAAAAGTACTTGCTCTGATCTAGATACTGTATGATATACTGAAGGCACGGTTTTTACTTACATTGTATCACTCATTGTAGGTTAAAGTAATGTTAAATTTACTCAAAGATTGTGCTTCTTCGTTGATCCCTTGTCCAGTCGTACCGTACCCCGAGAACTTCAGATTGCAAGATATCCAAAACACAAGATCACAAGCCCATATAAGTCACTGACAGGAATGTTGGTAAGATTCGTGACTATGCCATCTGTAGGTCCATGGGGTTGCTGAGCAAGGAAATTAGTCATAAAGTCGTACAGGCAGTGAAAAACAGTCTTGAAAAACACACAATGAAAAAACAGGAAGTAGGATGTAGGGTGAACACGAAAGATACATGAGCAAATACCTGTAAATCTAATTTTGGCAAACTCAGGGATCCATGGTACATTAATCTCATGCAATATCAGTGAACGAGTTACACGATTGTAGCAAGGGCAACATCTAGTAAACCTAAGCTCTGCCTGTTCGGGATTGCAAAGTACAACGCCAATTTACCACCATGGCAAGGAAAATGGTAAATAGATCAAGGTTGAAAAACACAAAACAAGCCAAACGTCTAAAGCCCCTAAAGATCAACCCCTAGCTAGTGCCAAGATCACTAGAATAAGATTACAACCTAAGTTAATATATACTAGATGTAATATAGAATAATATTGTTTTACATCTCTTTTATAAACAAGTCTAATGTTTTCATACCTAGTACAAGTAACAAATACATGCTTTTCATATTCAATGTTTCCATTGTCATGTAATTTACAAATTCGTTCACTAGTATCAATATTAAATTTTCATACTTTCTCAATTCCAAGCCTATGAGATCCAGTTTTGTGCCCAACAATAAAATAACGTAAGAACATAGAGCTTTCCGCAAGTAGATGTTCTTATTCACAGTAAACAAGTATAGGATAAACATGAAGTTGATAAAATTTGCATTTTCATGCCTGGTCTGTTCCAAATAATGTTGATAAATTCCTCTTGTATTTGCTCACGGATAACCATAGGTTGCAAGTTCCAATTGAGTTCCACCACAATCCACTTCAAAGATCAAATCGTCACATCCACAAATCACTCAAACGTGTGGAATGCAAAGCTTGAAGAGTAAGAAGAGAAACATCAAGAAACGTTATTGAAGCAAACTTTAGAGATATAAGTTGAACAACACCAATACTTCCAATTAAACGTTTCTATTTTGCGTTGTTAGTGAGACAACTATAAAAAAACGTTTCTATTTTGCGATGTTAGTGAGACAACTATAAAAAATGTATGAGACAAGCGATAAGCAAATCGTGAAAAGATCTCACTAAATATCTCATGAACGTAAAAAAAATAAAAAATTGAATTTTGTTAGTTGTTATATTGAGTTTGAAGAAATGCTGCACATGTGGATTGATTGCATGCATAAGAACAATCTACCTATTCCGCCATTGCCAAAACAAAAATTCTTAGGTTAAGTTTATCAATTTTGCTAAATCAATCACAAGTGGATGAACGTTACAAAAGGTGCTGCTTATATTGGAAGGAGATGAAGTAAACAAGTATGAGGTTTGATTATCGAAAGCTTTAGACAATATTTAAGTTTTATTTTCCAAAATGATCTGAAAACGTATAAAATATGGTGATTATCAGCTAGTTTTTTATTACTTACGAAATAGAGCCTTCTAATGCAATAGGAGGAAACATCAACCAAAAATTGATTTCCATATACAAAAATATTCAAAATTTGAGCAAAATGACTATCTATTACATTTTGAACTGAATAAATCTTGGTAACAATTTTGGGAGAAATTATGCATATTTAACCGTGAGGCTACTGTACTAGGAAAGACTTTCGCAATACACTAGCTTCACTTGAGAGCAACCATATTATGAATAGACGTTAAGTTGCTTATCTTGATACTCCATTAATTGTGGGTGATATAATATATAATATTAGGGCTGACTAGTTTTAATCGACTATTCGAATTCACATAGTTATCAGTTCAATTTTATAGGTGGCATAGTATGTATTTATCATGATATCAATGTTCTATTATTATTATCATCAACAGGTGTAGCCCTTTTGATTCGAGTTTTCATATGATAATATCAGGAGATCATATATATTCAGGTCTTGCCCTGATATTAATTTTGATTCTGATTTTGATTCGAGTCCTCAGGACTGGAAACTTGAGGAAAGTTAGGGAAAAGAACGAAACTAAATATTTGTGCTCTTCGATGACTTCCAGAAAGTCATCCTTTCCGAGTCCCCACCACAGTCGGCAGGGCCACGCCGGAAGTCTCCGTCTCGACTGCAGTCTTTCGCGAACTTAACGCGGCTTGATGTCGAGCCTGCAGTCAGCTGAAAGCAGAATTCCGACCATCAATAGGATACTTGAATGACTAACGGTTTCATCCACCATCATCCATCCAAAGCATCGAGCCATTCCGTGTCTTCCCATCGCTCATTGCTATTTTAATTGCTCCCCCTCATTCTCGTTACAAACGCGTGAGTTTCAATTCACATCATTCTTCAGTGTACATTCCCAAATCCCCAAATTACTGTGTGCTCCACGTCATCTTGGAATCCTGAAGCTTGAGGTCAATGAGGCAATAGTGCGTGATATATATATATATATACATCAACGCTCTATACCCAACCTTTAATATGGATGGCATACGCCTGCAGTTTAAATAAGACGGCGTCAGGGTCTTGGGAGGAGAAAATTATTCTCACATGGCTTGAGGTATAAAAAACTTGTTCGAGATGACGACCAGTTTTCATGGAAGGGTAATCCTCGAGATTTGAATCCAGGAAATTTGTGTCCGCCGTACCAGAAACTGCACTTTTGACATTTCTTAAGGCGAGTCAATCCGGAATTGAATGGCGCAAGTTTTTTCTTCGTTCTTTTCGCAGGCGCTATATCCCATAGTCCGAAGATTTCGCCGGAATGATAGCACCAATGCCGGGCGCATGGGCTTCGAATGGGGACCGAGCTGCGAGCCCGAACGAGATGCAATCTCGGGCCAGCACCTCGCGGGAAGACGGAGCGAGCATTCGCAGCAGCGTAGTTTCGAATCATGGCTCCAATGTGCGCGATGGTCACGGCAGCGCTGGCCGTGTCGGTGGCAGCCATCGTGCTCCGCCTGCAGAAGGCGAGCCCGGTGTCTCCTGCGCTAATCGACTATGGACCGCTGCCGACGACGGGAGTCTGGACTTCGGATTTCAGCCTTCGAGGCATGGAACGCTTCGGCGTCGGATGCCAAGGTCCGGAAGACATCGCCTTTGATAAGCACGGGCGCCTGTACGCGGGCTGCGCCGACGGGTGGATCAAGCGGGCGGGCGCCGACGGGAAGTTCGCCAACTTCAGCTTTGTGGGTGGCCGTCCTCTAGGCTTAGACATTGGCGGAGACCCCCAAGTGCTGTACGTCGCCGATGCGATTCTGGTAATAAATACCGGAGGCTTCATCCACCTACAAGAATTGTTTCTCCGAAGCTCCGGCTGCCAATCAGTCTGGGGGAGAAATCGTACTTCCTCCTGTGTGCTTTTTCCTCGCAGTGGTTCTGAAACTTAATTACAATCGACTCGGATTTTTGTATTCTACTGACACTTGCCTCTTGAATGCCTCGTGCGATCAGGGCATGTTTGAGGTGTCGTTGTCTGACGGAGTGGCACGTTCAATTGGACGTACAGACGATGAAGGCACAATCATAAAGTATGCTCCACTTCTGCTCTTGAGATTTCTCACTTCGCAGATGGCAGTCCGCCATCTTTAGTTGAAGGTAATTCCAAACGAGTAAAGTTGCAGATGAGAGGTTCCGTGCGGCCATGGTCATGTCGGCGTGCTCCATACTGCATTCATGGCCAACTCTCGAACAGAAGGAACATTCGTCGTCGGTCAGTTAATCTTGCATCTTGACACGTGAAAGAGATTTGTATCGCAGATTTGCCTCACCCCTACTTTTCAGCCGTCGCCGGCCTGTTTTGAGCCACTAAAAGGCTTTACTTTCTGTGAATGTGCCTGTCGTACCATGCAAACCATTCCTTTAGAAATGCCTGCAGGGAGACCAAGCAGGGAGGTGCATCTGACTGAATTGACCAAACCTGCGATCACATGTTTCGTCAGAGGGAAGATCTCCGGAGTCCTCTGTTCTCGGCTACAGCATGATCGAGTGAACCAAACCCCTCGATGTTCTGTAAACAGAGTCCTGTCTGCAATTAGCCAAATGTTTTTAAACTATAGTATCTAGAATTGCTTTTAAGACGTAGTTACTGCCTGCGAGTGAAGAGGATCGTTCTTACATGACAATTTTCCCCATAAATGATGTCGTTCTGAGCTTCTCACAGTCAACAAGGAGCCCATCGCCAGCTCGTTCACCTATCGAGTTTATCGCCCTCAAAAGAGCAGCTGCTTTGGCCTTCGAATCAACATTCGTAGATTCCGAATTCGGGGCCCGTTCCACCCGCCAAGCGTGGCATAATGGGTCGCTCATCAAGTCAAAGGTGCTGCATGTTGCCAGACGACGGAAAGTAGTATCGTCCTCGATAGCGCAGACACCATCTTGCTCGTCTTTTCGTGAGGATGGATCACCCAGAGCCTTTGTGACTAGAATCAGAAACTCGAGAATGTAATACTGAAATCCCACAGTGCAAGCTTATACCTTGGATAGACGGAGGTCAACTTCGTTCGTTGCAGGGAATTACTGACAGGAAACAAAAGGACTCACCCGAAATGTCGGTAAAATGCAGCAGTGCCCGCACTGCCGTGTGTTCGTGTTGTTTCATGGGCCCGGATACATCCTTTTCCTATTCATTAGAGTTTTTGAAAATTCTGTGACCAACATTCAACCGTCTTCTCACACGATGTTTTCTAATGCAAAGCGAAAGCAACAATTCATTGATTGTTGTCCCCCGCAGCGGAGCGCCTGGTTTCTCTGGGCTCGGTGATAGGACCCGATGACTCCACCAGGTAGAGTGCTTGGCACTCTATCTGGTGGAGCATATTCCATGAGCATGTCATATGCGAGCATATTCCATGAGCATGCTTTGGAGATTTTATTCCTGGTGCAAGTAGTTTCCCTATTTCGGTGAGGAAGTTAGCTTCATTTCCAACTCTGAGATCAGATTTACTGATTTCTGTTGCGCTCTTGAGAAAGCAGTAGGCAGAGATCAGCCAAGAAGTTAGAGGGAGAATTTTGAGGATTGGATCCCACATCAATCTCTCAAAGCTTACACGTCCAGGTTGCTGTTTTGGTTTCCTCCAGACCTCATGTATTTAATATGCATGTTATACAATCGGAGATGCAGGAGTTAGATTTATGAGGAAACGGTGTTTGTCTGAGACTTTAATATAGACTTTCCGAAACTTTGCGTTTAGCTTCGCAGATGGGGTATCGATTGCCAGTGATGGAAGTGTGTACTTCACCGACGTGTCTTCAAGTTTTGGCTGGTCAAATTACACACTGGACTTATTGGAATCGCGTCCTAATGGACGTCTTCTGAAGTACGATCCGGTAACAAAAGTAATCAGCGTTGTGAAGAGGGATATGTGGTTCCCAAATGGAGTTGCAATTTCACGAGATGGAGAATTCGCTGTCATAGCCGAAACTACCAGGTATATCAGCTATACGTACTTGGACGGTTTCCCCCTTCTTGCCACGACGACGTACTTGTGTTTTGAACGAACACTTCATTATCGAAGATTTAGTTCTAAAGCTAGTCTCTGCATATTGTACTGGAGGAATCATGTAGATCTTGCATACTCGATTTGAGTCCAGCCGAATTATAATCCGCAAGATATAACCGTGTGTTTGTTTGAAGGGTCACCATGAGGAGCGTGATGCAATCATTTCTTGTACTGCGGTGTAACAGCTGTCAGGGGCCTTGTTTATCATGCCTACTCTTTTCTTGCATACTGAGTAAGAGCATTTCTCTTGTTGCACATTCAGGGCACGCTTGATGCGCTTTTGGCTGAAGGGGGAAAACAAGGGCACTATGGATGTATTTCTGGATGGTTTGCCGGGCTTTCCTGACAACGTAAAGCACCAAGATGGAAAATTTTACGTGGGCATTGCTGGGGTGAGTACATCGCAGTTATATGTTTTAAAGATAAGCTAACAAGTGTGTTTTATTTCTAAATTCCGGTACCCTCATATGGCAGTAGTATACTTGTGGCTCTCCTAACGTACAGTAACTCTAAGTGACTATCTTTTCTAGGATGCCAAATTGCAGATATTCTAGAAGTAATTAGATATTAACAGCTTGTAGACATGACTATCTAGCATGATTGTTTTCGAAATCAGTTGCCTGGATCCGGAGAGGAAAGACCTTTGCATTGTGTAAGCTTGACAATTATGCGACTGCAAGTTGCCAACGTTGGGAATGCTTTCGTTGGTTACTGCAGAGGCGCCTCCCGTTAACGGACTGGATTTTCAATAGCTCATTTGGCGTTCAGCTGAGGAGCATCATAGCGCAGATGACTTTTATAGATATATTAGCTGCAGGCAAGACCGTGGGACGGCTCTGTGTTGTGGATGAGCAGGGCCAGGTTTTGAAGAAGTACGAGGATCCCACCGGCAAATTAATCAACGAGGTCACCGGTGGTCTCAGGTCTGGATCCTACGTCTATTTGTCAAGTCTGGGTACTCCGTTCCTTGGGCGAATCAAGGAGGCATAGGCGACGTAGCTTCCTTGCGCAAGGCTTTTCCGGATCATGTTAATCATCTCATTGTAAATAAACTAGTGACATACCTGCTCCTTGCATGTGGGCACTTTTTTCGCACATGAATGACAACGTTGTCAACTTCGTTCTATGAGCCGGTGGATTTTCGCAGACGTTTGAGTACTTCGAGCAGAGTTTCTGGTAGGCATATGATGACAGAAGGGATCAGGAACAAGGAACAGATACAGTTGTCCATCAACCTAAGCAATAGCATAAAGCTGCGCATGAAGTCATCTGCTGCCATGATTTTAGAGTCCGACGAGGACCAAGCTAATAATACGGTAAATCTGGAAGATAACGAAACAACGGCAAACCACCGTCTCGGGATACAGTAAACACACTTTTAACGGAAAATGCATTGTTGCACAGGGCAGGCTTTGTTATGAACTTTTAAGCTCACATGCTCCAAAGAAGTAGAACAACAACATGGTAACCCTATTGACTGTGTTAGTTCACAGAGAGAAGAATGGACCTCGGGACGGGAACGGAAGAGAAGAGAGTTCTTCATCTGGGTCCGGCTCCTCTTTATCTTCATCAACTTCGTCCAGTTTATACAACATCCAGCTGAGGGAAGACGGAATGTTGGTGGAAGTCCTGGAGACGATCTCGTAAATGGTCTCTAACGCGGGAGCCTTCAAGGTCGTTACACCTTCACGCAGCTGCTCAAGGCAAGGCACAAAGAAGTACTCCAAGGTGTGAACTATGCCCTTCTCGATCTCAGAGGCTGCCGCTGAGCCGGGTTGATATGCCTCCCCGGAGGTAGGAGCAGTGAAGAGTCTGATCATTTTGTGAACGGCACCGATCAACCTTCAAGACGTCGAAGAAGAGAAACAATGTAAGCAGTCACCTTTACCGAAATTTGCTGCATCGAACGTAGACGCGGGGACGCGGCAAGACAGATTCATTACAAACTCAGAACACAACGAAATTGGTTCTCAAGGGGCAATTTTACCCAGAGACCGTTCAGCTTTCTGATGCTTTAACAACCTCGGAAAAGCAGAAAAATAAAAAGTTGCATTAATTTGGGTGGGATAACATCGAGCTACCAGCTACACCACCGAGCTATCGAAGGGGGGAATGTTGCCAGCCAATGCTCAGGAAGCACCAACTAACCTGAGCTTTGCTTCCGGTTCCCAGGAGCCTCTTCCAAACCAGGCGATCAAACGGAATACTCTGACACGTGTATCAATAATGCGATGTTAGCCATTTCAAAATGAATGATCGGAATGGGGACGTCCTGTTTCCATTGAAGTCGGTAATGGGAACAGGATCAAATAGACGATGTGTATGAAGCGAAATTCATCATGTTTCGAATACAAGAGAATGCACGAGGACACCTTTCGAGAACGGTCGGAGGGACGAGTGGGGCAACTTCGACCACTCTACAGAAAACGAGTATGTCTAAAGATCTCATCGCCCAAAATTGCGGGTGCGGCAATAGATCGAGTATCATCTCGCCGTAGGCTCCAGTGAGGGCTTCTCGAGACAAGTGTCCACAGGCGATCGAAAGCGTCCCGAGAATCACTTCAGCCTACCATCCCAGCCCAGATAAGAGTTTAACAGACCAGTTGCTCATATACAAATTGCTCGTTAGTGTAACGTTGAAGTAACTTGTTATCACAGAAATAAGCCTTCACCCTAAAGCGACACCATCTATTTTTTTTACGCATATAAATTTATATTTACAAACATTACTATGAAAGTTTCATCCATAAGGATAAATCGTAATTTATATTTCTACGAATGCGTCGCTGTGCAACTCTATAACATGACACTGTGAAAAAGAAAAGTAAACTATTTTAAAAAATAATTAAGAAAGAGATTAGAGATTAGAACACCCTGTCTAATATTTTTCATAATTCAATTTTAGAACAACTCAAAATCAGCTAAGATGTTTGGTCCATTTTCACTCCACAGGTGTCATTAGTACCTCAACGAAGGATCATTAGCATGTTATGATTTATTTCTATGAAGCTTTCCTAAATTTCCAAGCCTTATATACATTTCTAGTTTCAACTTTGAGCTTCAATACTAAAAATTCAAACCTCAAAAATGGCCAAAGATTCTGATGTTAATCTACGACACGAATATCAGAGATTAGTAGTCACTGATAGTTACTTGAATTTTTCTTCAGTAAAATTTCAGAGATCTAATACATACTTTGCCACGGATCTTTCGTTGATACTGATCACATCTCATAGAGCTGGGTTGCTATGAAATAGAGCTTACTAAGCATTTTAGCTGATTTTGAGTCAAGGAGTGAGGGATACTCGATAGAGTGTTTTTTTATCTCTCACTTCTGTTTGTTCCTTAACTTGAATAGAGAGTGTAATATTGTTTTCACAATGGTCAGTTCTAGACTTCCACATTACTTGTCTTAGAAAAATCATCGAAGAATGATATTTTTGGATTAAACTTTCATAGTCACGTTCATAATGATCGAGAGGTGGTATACAGTAACAGTGACTTGTTTGAACAGAAGTCGAAATCTCTCTCTCTCTCTCTCTCTCTCTCTCTATATATATATATATATATGAAACCTTCAAATGAAGCCGTTTAGGAGGAGATGTCTCACTTCCAGGGCTGGCCTTCCGCAAAAGTCAGCTGCAGCTGCAGCGTTTAGGAGGATCCAGATGATCGAGATGGTTTCTTCTTTAACCTGCTCACTCCAAGCTCTCACCATCTCTTTCGTTACGGCTACAATGCTTTGATTCACATCCCTGGAAAGAGGTACATCTTGTAAACATGAATATTGTAGTTCAGACAATGACATCATTTCCGCTGTTGGATTAAACAAGTTCACATGCATGTAGCAAGGAAGTATCTTGGAAAGCAATGGACACTTACAACTGGATACTCTTCATGATATCTGACTCGCTAAGTACAGAGCAGATCTTCGGAATGTGGCTCCTCAGAGAACTGGCAGGGCTCCCTTGCATGATACATGCCAGGAGTTTCACAGCCTGTCCAAGCTGCTGAACAGAGGCATCACTCCAGAGCTCTCCAGTAATTCTAGGTAAGATAATTAACAAGTAGGCCGTTGGGTCCACAAAGTGTCCAAGAATGTTTGCACAGTCCGAAACCTAGCATCACACCGAATGCCAGGCCATGAGCAATTGCACGAGGGATTTTCTGAAAATAATCGAGGTCGAGAACCTGGTGTTTGTCCTGAACGTTGATAGGCACAAATGTAATTTATATCTTCAGGGGACCTCGGAGGGTTTAAGAAAGAAAGGAGGATAGAAAATTCAAAGGTTGTAACGAGGTTCGTCACTTGGAACTGACCTTCTTTTCAATGAGTGGTTCTTTCAGTGCCTTCATGAGCAGAACGACGACTTGTTGGAGATGCATAGTGATATGCTCTTCAACAAACAGAAGCATGGTGTGTAAAAAGTCCGCAGCCAGAGACTTTGTGCCTGACGTCCATGCACTGAGGTCGCCGCCAAGAGCATGGAGCATGACCGAACAACAGTTCCTTACCAGTATTCTAGCACCCAGACACGGCCTGGCTGCAGATGAATATCACAGCACAGCATGTTCCGTCAGTTCCGGTAGAGTTCTTACCGTGTGTTACAAAAGGGCTTGTGCAGACCGAGCGTTCAGTTGAAGGCTAAATTAGTTTATAGTAATAAAAGTATTCATCTGGTTTGTTATATTTTTCTTTGGAATGAAAGCTCTCCAGTAGGATCACGATCTGTGATGCCTCTTTGATACGTACGACGTTGCGAATGTTATACAGTAACATGAGCTGACTACTCGACAGCTCAAAGTTGATGGCAGGGCAGTTCAGTTGACTCAGATTTTGGGGAGTGTTTTGACCATCCAGTCTAGAGAACACTTCTGACAGCGAGGGTGGCGTGGTGGGATCACCGACATTTGAAGGCTTTTGGTAGAGATTTTCCCGCCACTGCTGGAAGATCATCAATGTCGTCGGGCAGGTAAATCTGTATGTCTTTGACTTCATTCTCATTCTCCTCCTCGTATCTATTTCAGAAGGCTCTCGTGTTTCAAACAGGCAAGGCTATAGATCTAAAAATTAGTTATGTGGATGTCTGAATTCATGCTGTTTTCTTCGGCAAGTCACGCATGCTTCAAGGTTCGAGGTTTTGTTCGACTTACTGCTGACCGACTTCCTCCATGAGTTGAAAGGCAAGGTCTTGAACAGCTGGACTTTCATCCGTGAAACCACTCAACAAGTACCTGGACAGGTAACAATCAATATAAATAGCGGATGTCAATTATCCTAGACATAGTTAAGGCTTGGAGAGTTCCGGAAAAAAAAAGTTTGGGATTAGTAGTATGCTATACAAAAAAATATAGTTTTCATGATAATATAATATTATGTAAGTTTTGATTATTTATATATATATCAACAACCCTAATGTTTTATAGTGTTCAAGTAATTATTACGATAACATTCTAAATCACTCAAGATGATTCTCATTAACAAAATTACACAAGTTGCTTAGTTTTTTTATCATTTTATTACTTTTTGATTACTAGAATGTATGGAAATCTGATTACAACTATTTGATTTAACTTACCTTAACAGTGTTGATGATTAGCATTTATGTATAAGAGATGGATGTACATGGTTGTGCATATGAATGAAGAGGTCTGATATTTTTTAATTTTTTATGGACTAACAATAATTTTATTTTTTATATTTAAAAATATTCAAGAGTATATGATAATATTTAATTTTTATTAATTAATTTTACTTTAATATGATCATTGATGGAGGTCATGTATTCTCTTTTCATAACTTTTTCAAGCTTTTGTAAAGTTTTATTGGCATGTTTGGGCAATTCAAGAAGAGCAAGTGACAAGTTAAAAAACATGACAAAATGAGCTACATTTGATGTCAAAAATCAAGAATTTCGTACAAATAGAAATCATGTTATGAAATGTCAAAGTTGGAGAGCAAAATTAGCATATAGTTACATGTTTGACTGATTTCAGAAGTATCATGAAGTTATCGAAAGATTAAATACTACCAATTGGGAGCTTAGGAATTCAACTTTTTTGTAAGATGAATTTTGATGTCACTTGAGATAGTTTTGAGTGCTTGAAGATGGATAATATTTTTGCATATATTAACATTTTTACATAATCTGTACATGTCAAATGATGATGTTGTGTGTTGTGAAGTGGGTTTTACTAAATCTTAATTTGAGATAACTCAGAAACAGTGTTGAATAAGAAACACATGAATAATATGTACTTGTTACTTCTTGTTGATAGGATTATATTTTTTGCTTTGTATTATAAATTACTATCACATGATTTAATCTAATAGAATTGATATAAAATTTGATACACATTGTGTTATGGACAAACATTGAACATACTTTTAATGTTTGAATTAAAAATAGCAAAAATTTTCTTTTGCATGTACGTACTTATGTATGATTATCTTATTCTAAAACATCACTCTTCAAAAATATATATTATACGTTCTTTACTTTGATCACTTTTAATTTATATAATTTTTCCTCATACAAAAATCTTATAGTTTCCTAACTTTCAAAATTAAAAAGAGTCAAGTTGAGATTGATATTTATTCCAAGATGCATGAGGTGAATATTACTTCCACCATGAATGCAAATTAGAACTATCTAGCTTTTGTACGAGAATATGTATCAACTCAATCCACACATTTTCTTCTATTTGTCATATGGCTTGTTGCCTATCAATGGACACAGTATAACTATCTTATCATGGATATGGAGATAGGATATGGATAGGAGGTTGATTTCTCATATAAAGAATATTTTTGTATTCATTTTAATCAAATTTATTGAATATCTTTATATGAAAGGGAAAGAAAAAGCCTAAGTATCGATGGGTTGATATAAGCCTAAGGGCTTATATCAAGCCTACTGTATTAGAGAAAGTGTGCGAAAGCTTAATTTCTAGTTTCTGTTATATTCATTAAAATCAAAATATATACATTCTCTAAAATGAACATTATTTGATGGAATGCATATGATGGACTGACTCTCTCCAAGTTAAATGATGCTTCTTTCAATGTAAGTAGATAGTATAACTTAGCTAAATTGGTATCTTAGTTGCAATAAGACATATAATGCATTGTGATGTGAATTTACCTAACCCATCTTATTCTTGGTTCCATCCGTTTTTCTCTTTGGGTCTTCCCATATATTTTGCTATGGTAAAATTAAAGAGATATCAAGAGTTCTTGACCTTACAAACAAAGGGGATGTCACATCAAGAGTTCTTGACCTTCAAACATATAGGATGTCACGGGAATGGATTTAGAAAATTACGGAACAAGGCGACATTCGTGCTCCTTCCTTTCATCTAGTTCTCGTAGCCAGCTTCCCACCGTCTTCAGTAGTTGTTCCCTGACTTGAATACTCCTGTCGCCGGCTAACAGAGCCAAATACTGAGTCTGGAAAAATAAAGAGACAGAAGAATACGTTTTTAGAATTCCCACCCTATAGTGGGAAGATCTTAAAACCATGTTATTATGCAGTGACAAACTAGGAATGGAAGGAATGCATGGCTTATGGGGGAGCAAAAGCACTAATACCTTGGGATCTGGACGATAAAATGCTTTTATAGGCACAGAATTTGGATCCCGAAACGCTGTTAGATCATAGATGCTCTCGTGAGCCCCACAAAGGACGAGCCTGCGGCGTGTATTTCAAGCACTCAGTTCGAACAAATGATAAAAGATTTCAAGCTTCAATTCCAAGGTTTCGATTTCCCTTGGCCTAGTATTGTTTTCATACACTCCACTAGTTCATTTCTCCATATTTCCCAATATCTACTTGCCGTACCTATGAATTGCACGCAGGGCAGCCACTCGCACCCTATGACGGTTGTGAGCTAGCGAGCGTAAAGTTACTGATATCAGCTGCTTTGCCACTGGTTTCAGCTTCATGCTACATATCTCACCAAAAAGTGCCATAGCCGCAAAAGTTTTCTGTGAGAGAGTACAAACGTGAAAGTAAGCTCTAAGCAATTCATCATAGAACAAGGAGTTTGGTTAAGGAGTTGAGGTTCTCACTCCTCTCCGGCAAGACCTACCATAAGAACATCTGGATTGGAATCACACGCGGCTGCGGTCAATATTGTTGCAACATCAGAAGCAAATGGGTGAATCATAGCTTTGGATCGCTTCAGCAGCTCATGGAGAAGAGTCACTAGGAGCAGTCGAAGATCTTCAGATTTTTCAACAAGGATTACTTCTACCTGCACAAGATACTTGCTCACATCAGCTCAGAGGTTTTAAACAATTTATACCATCCAAACATTCGCCAGAGGGCAACGGTTGTTACCAAATTTGACCCGGTAGATTAGATCATGCTTTTCAGCCTTTCAGTAATCTAACCTTCGATGCGGGATCTTCAGTTGGAAGGGACTTGATTGGCAAGCGAGATGATATAACCGGAACAATGTATGGGAGCAGAGGAAAAACAGATTCAGGGATGGACTGCAAGAGCCTGCAACGTTGGGAAAATGAAGGCCGGCGAGTGACCATTTCACTCGCTGCACCACAAGTTAGACCGTCTGTTGAGCAGAGAACTAAGACGGTGTCTGAAGCATATTGGCATGAAAAGTGTCCACAAACATAGTACCTAGAGTTTCTAGCTCTTGAATGTTGTTGATCAGCAATCGAATTGCAACGCGTGGAATCGAAGAGTTGAGTATGAATGAGCTACATACGCTATGAGCATTGAGACTGCGAGATAGCGACATCTCTCAGACGAGTCGCCAAAAACTTTAAGTAAAGGCTTGACAACAATCTCCTCCACACACCAGGCAAATTTGTCGGCACTCTCGAATAGTCCTGTATTTATCATGTGGTTCTCAACTTCATGCTCCTGGCCAGTCGTTCTTTCCGAGAGAAAATTAACCTCTCCCACGAAGTCTCCCAATAACGCACGATGCAAGCTGTGCAGGGCCTCGTACCTGACGTCGATGGCGGGATCATGCAAACAGTTTACATCCTTGTTGATTATCTTCATTAGCTCTTCATCAGTAGCAGACGTTGGGCCTTCGTCATGAGTGTTATAAGGGTTCAATTGGAGAGTGGAGACCTCAATTGAATTGCATTCTGCAAGAGCGTGGTGAACTAAGGGTCCAGTCTGGTCCAAAGTGGAGTTCACGTCCGCCGCAGGTTTTAAACTGCTTTGACAATCACAGTGATAGCCATTGATGTGAAGAGATATTCCTTCATTCTTTTTCTCCCCGAGGTTATCTTGGAAGCCGGATTTCGTCCATTCAGAATCTTGGGGCATCAAACTGTTGAGATTTTCGAAAACTTTCTGATTGCCCGATTCTCCAACGTGACGATTCTCTGCTACATTGTCCAGGTGCTTGAGAGCGCCCATGTCGGTCGATTTGGAGAGAGTAGATTTCAGATGGCTGAATGTGGAATTCACTTTGACAACGTGATCAATATTACTCTGCGCAGGGGTCATTGGACTCTCCTCACTGCTACCCTGCTCGTGCAAGTTCGAACTGTTTCTTAGTTTCCGAACACTTTCCTCCGGTTTAAGGTTGCTCTCCTTCGCAGTCCGATGTAGTGCTGCCTCGCAGTCGTTGTCCTCGTCCACGTTGACCAGATAACCGTTCGGGGCTTCCTCGACAGGTTTGCCGCTAACGATTTCCTCGTGAGTGTCTTCTGAGACCTGAGATGTCTTCTCTTCTTCCATATTCGCAAGAATCGTTCTGGCCTCTTTTTCATCTTGAAGATTTCGAAGAATTGCTTTAGCTGTGGACCGTAAGTCATTTTTGAGGTCGTCAACTTCCGATACGTGGTGCCTGGCAGGGACTCCCAGAATGAAGGGGTGGTCATCACACGCGGCACTCGGTGCGTTGGAGAGGGTTTGGGTTTGGTGACTTGAAGGTTCTATTCGTTTGGAGAAAGCATTCCAATTTCTTCCTGACTTGGACATGTGCTTTCTTGTAGAAGCGAATTGTTGTTTGAGGGACTGCCAAATTTCTGCAACGCCCGGTTTCTTGGTAATTGTCTCAGCGACCTCCATATGGAACCTTTTTTGATGTACAAAATCGAATTGCTAATATGGCTCACAGGCGATCAATCCAGCCTTTTCGCTGGGTAATACTGGGCTAGCGACACCGTCAAAACTTCCGAGCCACAGACCCTTGATGCCCACATCAATGACCTTGCGTGAGTCTTACTGCAGATTTAGTCATCTACCGAAGCCGTCGAGAATATACGAGAGAGAGCCATAGGAGCCAGGTTTACCCATCACCAATGCCCATATCTGGAACTCCCTCCGAAGAGTCTTAAATTAGACCAAAGGCGAGTATGGACAACATAAGAAGGATTTAAGCAACCGGGCCCGAATCGGCATGCAAGAAGAGCACCTACAGACCGGTGAGTAGCCTGGCGATGTGAACTACGCGGCAAGAATACAGAACATACCGTACTCCCTAATGCATGGATCGTTGTGTGCAGAGGCAAAAGTGGAAGGTCGGAAGGGAGGGAAGGCTGACTTCTAATGCTCTTGAAGCTCCCGGATCCTTCAATTTGCAACACATCGATCGCTCATTCGTCTTCCTTCAATGAAACCAACAGACCGACCGGCCAAAAATCACTGGCATCCAGGCTGGCAGAACAGCAATATATGATTCAGAGAATCATTTGCAGTTAGGCTTTTCTCTCTCTCTCTCTCTCTTCCTCGATAATTGACGTTCGCCCCGTTGTGGCAATGGGGCACTTCTTTATCGAACGTTCCTCTACGGGCTGTTTTGTCCTGGAATCGCCAACTTTGAACACAGGGACTCAGGGAAGAACCACCGGATCCTCTGAGGCACGAAGCTCAAAAGCCTCAGAACGGTCAGGGCACACTCGAGTCCAAAGATATCGTGTCATCCCATGGTCGGGTCGAGACAGCATTCAAATGAACATTTTCCCTCCATCTCTAGACAATTCCAAACTGTTGACTGTTGTATTTTCAGATTCACCTTCCATGACACAAGGGTTCCGAGTATTATATAAGATGTGGGAATGCGTCCAAAGTGATGAAACTGAAGTGCTTGGGCGGGGCTCCCCCTATGGCATGACAATGAAAGAAACATGTGCATGACTTACTTAGGGATATTTCAACTATCTAGTTAACACAATGTACATATTAAGAAGCATTTGAAGAATTTGATTGCATACATTTCCTTTTCTACCAAACAATAAATGCATGCATTGTCGAAATATTGTACACAATATGCTTTAAAAAGTTCAATTATCCGACTCTTCCTATTGTATGTGCTAGGATTGTCTAAGTCTGAAATACCCAATAATACTAAGGTTAAATGAGCTTTAAGTATATTCATATAGCTTGAGGCCTTGGCTTTTGACACTCAACTTGTAAAGCACATTATTACTCTAAAAATTTGTCACATCTAGGATTTAAACAAATAAAAAAAAGAGGTTGTGATACATATTGATATATTACAACGATTGTGATCATCTCATTGATTAGATGGGTGTGTATGTGTCGTACTAGATGAAGCGAGTAAACCCTATTTTGCACTCAAGGCCAACACTGTTGTTAGAAGATATATGACTGATGTTTGCAGTTCGAAGTAGGATTCCTAAAATTTTGGTTTTCAAATCTGAATTTGAAAATATGTATAACTTAAGTCAATTGACCTTTTGGCATTCAGAAAGTGAATTTTATACATTTACGTGACATGCAAAACAATGGGCGAGAACTTGTTCTAAAACAACCTCAGGCACATCATGATGATTGGTCATCTACTAGAGCGAACTTGAGCCAATTTTGCTTCAGGAGCATGCAACAGTGAACTTTAATCAGTGACCATTAAATAAAATCAAAAAGCTGGAAGGTAGACCCAGGGGATGCTCCTATTAATAGACATGAAGATTATATTCTTCTAAAAAAAATCTGTACAAAGATGTTTTCCGCAATGGTGATTTGGCAAGAAAGTGTGCCCCGACGGCACAGGAGCAAAGCCTACATCCCGTGCTAAGCCAGTCAAATTATCGTCTGAAATAGGGTTGGAATTCACACTTGGAGAAATGCATAGGTGAAGTCAAAACTTTTAGAAAGTTGTCACGTTGTGGCTATGGGTTGAAGCCCAAGATACCGTCTTGATATCTATTGACGAGTGAAAGAAGTAACTCTTCGTTTATCTCTTGCAATCAGTACTTTAACCACTTGTGTGCATAAACTTTGCTCAGTGTGTGTAGATAATCAAAGCATTGTACTTGACAAGTACAATGCTTTGATTGGGTCAACAAGTTCTTTGAAGCGGCAAAAGGCAGATTTTATTGAGGATTTAAAATAGTTGGTAAAGTGATTGGAAACTGATTTATTTCAAACCCGTCTTTGCTGCAACTAATAGTCTAGTATTTGACTTTTGTGAAAAATATACATTGCCATGGGGGAACAATACTCTCGGCAAATTTTTATACAGTAATTGATGTTTTAATGTAAAGCGCTAAATACAAGCTTCAGCGTTTCGAAAGGCATTGTTTTCTTTTGCGATGCCGAGAACCACCACTGCATCTTAGACATTGGAAGAGGGAATCTGTGACCCTCAAACCTTGGCTGCTAACAAATAATCCTGTGACGACTCTGAGGTCCACATTCGAAGAGAAATTTTAACTCAAAGCGATCCATTTGGAGGGCGAAAACTTCCACGTTTCCCGTTGGATGAATCCGTGTTCTGAAAGAGAAGTCAGTCGAACCCTTGGGGCCAAATCCCGATTTTTGCGAGATTATTCGCTGTATCGGTAGAACCATATAACCGGTGATGCATATGAACTTACTACTCAAATAAGCAACATCTGGGTACAGTCAAGGTAGATGTGCTTTTCGTGTCGTATTTCCATCTCGACTTCCATCATGCGTTTTCGTGCCGATTGCCGGAGCCTACCGGAGAGGTGGGCATGTGCACAGTGATAAGCGCTTGCCCCTGGAGGATTATGCGCCTTCGGCCATTGGTCCTCTGCCCTTTCATATGAGCGAACCATTATTGCATGATTGCCAGGACCGATCTATCGGTCGCTGGATAGAACGGCGAACGAGGGTCCGTAGGGTTTTTGGATTGAAGTTCGACGTGAAGGTAGAGCAGAGAGTTAGCAAGGTGATGGTGAGAGCATTCTTGCTGCAGAGGGGGATGGCGACCGTTGTGGCATCCGGGGTCGAATTGTTGCGTCAGCAGAAGGTTGCTTTGCGGACCGTAATGAAGCGGAATCTTCGAAATTTTCCTCTCGAATTGCGTCAGGAAGAAGGTAGAACGAGGTTTAGGATTGGCGTTCAAGAGTTTGGAGTTATGGAACTGGTTTAGGCCGCAACATCGGAGTAACACTAATGGTGTCCACTAGAGCAGAGATTACGGGGTTCTCGCGTTAGAGTACCAATGTCAACAATCTCGTCCTATTTTTCTCACTTAGATCTGCTCGAGGTGATGGATATCAGTGAAGGGTGAAGGGAATTGTCGTTACTTTGTGAGCTACCTCTGAATTTCATGCACAGTAATTGTCAGATCTTCTGCTCTTTTTTCAGATATCGCAATCCAGAACCATGTGTTATCTGCCGACTGGTTCAAGCAGAGCAATTCACTTTGTGCCTATCTGAGTTGTGCGTCACTGCGGGAAGTCGACACAAATCAGATTGTAGCGAGTGTCTTGCAGAAGAGCGACCCTGGTATGAAAGACCTACCTTTTGGAATCAGAGTGCGTTATCTTCGCTTTGGTGAATTTGGCCTTAGATATCGTAAACCATGCCCTAAGTAATGCTTGGCTTCAGGGAATCAGAGATGGCGAAGGAGCTCTACGTTCCACGAGTTTTAGATCGTGAAGCTAACATGGCCATGCTGCACGTCTCCAGTACAGCAGACCTTACCACGAATTCAATGGGCATCGTGGAACCAGACTTCACAGACTCTGATGGCAAGCCTCGAAAAAGCGGTAAACCTCAGTTTCGGATGTGCTTTCTTTCGAACGACATGAGCACTGTCTTGCAGTTTTCCTGATCTTCTTCATGCTCATTAAGTTTAGATTCTGAGTTGATATGTTGCCATGAGTCCATTGACAGTGTTGGAAGCAACCGAACCAGTTGACTTGCTGCTATTGCCCGGTAAGTTGGACTTATTACAAGCCTTTGCTTTACACTGGATAATTCTCGACTCCTTGTAATCATGAAGTTAGAGACTAGCAGGCAATTTTACAAAATTTTACAAGAGGCTGCAAATGTCATCAGGACTCATCTTCGATCGTTCAGGGCGACGGTGCGGTCGTGGAGGAGGGTACGAGAAATATAACTTGTGGAAAATAATTTTTTTCTGAATAATAGTCTCAGAGTTGCATGTCTCATGAGCTCTATCTAGTCTCTTTCATGACCTTTAGAATGACTTTCTAGGGATTTTGTGCACCAGCGACCAGGATGTGATGAACTGACAGGTCAAAATGTAACTATTGGTACAGGTATTATGATGTTTTTCTCCAAAAGTATCTGCAGCTAGTGAAAGATAAAAACTGGAAGCAACCCCTTCTTGGTAAGTGTTGTTTGCTTATATCATGATCTATCAGGGCCGCTCAGCCCCATAGCAAGACAAAGTAACGTGAGATGAAGTCCTGGTTTTTGAGGAGCTCCTGTTGCATGGAGATGCGAATAGTTTTGTACGTAGTGTGGGTCTTCTGAAATCGTTTGAAACAGCTCTTAATTTGTTAACATGATTTTACTGATATATGAAATTTCAATTGCAGTGGCTATCGCCTATTCGGTACAAGTAGTGGAAGATCCTGTACCTGTGGGTGAAACAGATATTCCTGTTGATGCGCTTGTTTTGTCGAGTGGCGTGCTGCCGATTTCGCCTTTTGCACAGAAGCACATGAATATATCTCAAATTTAGACTTAAGTCTCTGGATTTCATCGACAGCCAGCAGTTCTTTGGCAGATTCTTGGAACACTCAGTATCGGACTGAGCGACGCGACTTCTTCAGGTGTCCTTTGAAGTCCTTTTGGAGCTGAGTGAGCAGTAAATTATATCTCACTTTGGTGAATGTTGTGTAGATGAGCGGCGCATTTTAGTGTAAAGTGAACTTGACATCCAAGTTTTTCCAGTTCCTTCCATATTTCAGTCCAGGATCCAAGAAGCAGAGATTCCTGCTTAGGGTCTGTTTGTAAAAGTTCCACTAGCTTTTGCAGTCATGCAAAGAGCAGTACAAAGTTTTCCGGGCCTAGTATACAAGACTTATCAGTGGACACTGAGCAAGGTGCAGGCAAAGCTTTGCCACGGGAACTGGCATCGAAGAGTTTATTTCTTTGCTTTCCGGAGCCCAAATATATTTCCATTGGAGTTATCCATTCTGACTTGCAGATTTTATTCTCCCCTCCAAATTTTCAAATGATTTTTCATTGACGGTTTAGTAAAACTTTTAAACCAACGCTTCCACAGATTCCCCAACATGATTATTATGCGAAATGAAGTAACTGCTCAAAAACTCGATATTTGTAACCGAGTTGCACAAGTGTATCCATTCAGTACACTTGTGCAACTCGGAGCTCCGTCGACTACAGCGGGGTTCATCTCTTCAAGAACTTCTGGTGCCTTCTCAAGGACAAAGGCAAACATCAATGAACAGTGTACCAACCTGGGATTTATGCAATGGTGTGCAGAAAAGTGCTAGATGTCGATGAAGCAATGCTTTTGCCCTTACACACCAGATACTGTGCACTGCTTGTGTGCATTGGCCTCAGATGGGTTACTCACATCCATCGGATCTAGAGGCGTTGATTCCTTCGGTCTTATCAATAAGACTTCCTTGACTGTTCAAGTAGGTCTCCTATGAGGACTTACTTGATTCTAAGGTCTAAGGATTGGTCTAAGAAGGCTTTCCAAGGCTTCTACTTCAGAAGTTTTGATTGAGACTTCAAAGCCACATGTTATCCCACTCATATCGTATCATATGACAACCCTGAACCGTGTAGAATACTACACGGTTCAGGGTTGTTATCTTGAATGAACGATTAAAATAAGAATGTCTGAGGTCAATGTGCAAATGTCGTGGCTTTGCACATTTGTGTGAAGTTTTGCCGCTTTTGCGAAGTGATTGGCGCGAGAAGAGATACTTCTTTTATGAGCATCTCTATTTACGGAGTGTCCCAGCGGAATAGGTATTGTCACTACAGGCCACAGTTTGAGAATATCGAGGAGAAGGACGACAGTAAGCCTTTCTGAACAAAACTTGCAGGTTCATCAGCAAATTCTTTCACTGATTTCCAGGGCTTCGGCTTTTCAAATTTCCGCCAAAGAATTCACAATGAACATACATCTTACATGTTGTAACGAAGTGGATAGGGTCGTTGGCATCAGGGTTCCGAAACTATTACACTTTGTATGAGCTATACTTGTATTCAGAACCATGAGCTCTCGATCTTTTCTGACACTTCTAACAGGTAAAACCTCTTCGGAGAAGTATCCCTTTCCAACTCACATGTCATTATGGGCCATTATTACATGAGAGCGAACAGTATAACAACCATTAACGCATTCCCTCGACTGGTTCATACAGTTGTCGGAAGACGAAAGCATTTCAAACATCTCTAGATGACATTGCGCACATAGGTAGGATTCGTGCAGAATATTCGTTTCAATTGCAACTTGTGCAGAGTATAAACTTCGAGGACTCTAAACTACGTAAATAGTGCAGACAGTTCCAAATTTTAGGTGATGCTTTAAGGTATCTCGGAACGTTCGTTAAAGATTCTCCTGGAAATTACACTTTCTCCATGTGTAGTTGTTCTCTATTGATGACAAACAAAGATTTCTCATGCATATCAAGAGGACTGAATTCTCTACGAACATTTTCTAAAGTAGTTGAAAACGTTTTCCGGGAAGCCGCTGTAGCATCCAGCTTCCAGTTTACGCCAATGATTTACATACCGGTACACGTGGGTTCCTACTGACAGATGATTCAGACACTGAAGTCGCCACTTTATTAAATGGTAGACTAGGCCTCCAAAGATTCCCCGCTTAGTATCAAGGAATGACTGTCATAATACAAAGCATGGAAGAGAGTGAGGGAGTAGCTTGAAGTGCAGTGATGAAACTGTCCGTACTGGCAAGTATAGCAACGGGTAATAACACACATTCAACAGTTGAAGTCAATCGAGAGAAGAAGAAAAAGGTGTATAACAAGTAGAGGCCACCATCATCTCTTCGAAGGGAGCAGTCCAACGACGGCAACAGTCGCATCATATTACATAAAGGCAGACAAGACAGCCAAGAGAGAGGTGAGAGAGAGAGAGAAAGGAAAAAAGAAAGAGGAAAAGACTGGAAAAGAGGAGAGAGGAGAGAGGATTTGGAGGAAGGAGAGAAGACAATGAGTAGAAAAAACAAGAGAGAGAAAAGCGAGCCTGAAGGCTCTGAAACCTGTACTGCTCTGCTCTGAGAAAAGCAAACGTCAGCGGGCTACGGTAGTCGAACATGGATTGCCTGCACCAAATCCCAGTGGCACTTCGCTACGTATTGCAGTGCAACCAGGGCCTGCGTCCGGTGGGGACAGCCCAACTGTTGCACTGGAGACTGGACTGGCCTGTACGACGCGACGTACGAAGCTTAACTTACATACCAGCATTCGCATAGGGCCCGAGGGCTCTGATGATCAGGAAGTGAAAGCTCTGCTTCACTCGAACATCTATCGCCCAATCTTACAGAGTGCATACCCAGGATGAAAACCTCGCCGCACCAACCCACCCATCTAGAAGCGATCGACGATGATCTCGACCCGAGACCGAAGCTCAGCGGTGCAGGACCTAAGAAGAAAGACACAAGCCCTACAGTCGTGCTGCTGGCGTGCTGGAGATCTTGGGCTACGCTGTCCTGGCTCCGCGGCACTCACGACTTCTGGCTGCTCTGAGAGCTCAGGGACCGCAGGCAGACAGCACTCATCTGATATTCTCTCTCTAAACGTCGGAACCAGAGGCTGGGGTACTTGAGACCATCTTTTGAACCCTCTCTCTAGTCGCAAGGATGAGCTCGGGCCTTCCACCTGCTGAAACTGCCGCGGGCCCCTTTTGCCCGCGCGCCCGCCTGGCGCCCCGTCTGACGCCCGGTGTCAGTCGTTGCCTTCAATCTTCCAATCCTTCCGCGCAAATACAAGAAGAGTATTTTCGTCTCGTGTGCTACAGCCTCAGCACGCGCTCCGCTGCTCGCAGTGTATCGCAGGCGGGCGCGGCTGGCCTGCTCTGGCCTGGCGAACCGCTCGTCACACTATAGCGAGCGCAACAGAATCGTGGTGCGGCGCGCGTCGTCCGATCGCCCATCGAGGGTCGCGTGCTTCCCACTTCTCGCAGGCTCGCACTCACTCTGACTCGGGCCTCTGCGTACATCGGGCTCCCCACTCTCTGATGGTATTCTCCACTCATAGTAATTACGCATCATAATTTCGCAGGACCTTCATCTGACCAAATTCCACCACCTTTGAGCATTTACAGGCCTTGCGGACGGTAACCGAAGCCTAGGCGGGCTTTTACCTGCCCTCGTTTGAAACTTACTTTCGGGGCATCTTCGTTTCCATGATATATTTCCATCGGGTTCATCAGATCTCAGCAAATCTTCTCCCGCTTGATCGCCTCGCGCTTTCCACTTCACAGTACAGAGCTCCACACTTGAGGAGAACTGGGGAGAAAGGTTCGCACTGTACGTCAATGAGGTTAAATCCCAGCAGAATTAGTCAAATGCCATCGTTCTGGATTTTCACCTGACCTTTTCGAAATGTTTTCTTTAAAATCCTCTAAGACCACGATAAATTTTCTTACTTCTATTTTGTTATCATCCAGAGTGATCATCTGCTTCAAATATATTTGATTTTGACTGGGGAAAAATTTCACACGCTGGGGACTTTTTGCTGTAAAAGTTTACCATATCCCCAGTCATACAACCTGGGTTCTGTCTCTTCTGATTTTGATAATTAATTATATAAAAAATATTATACGTTTACATCAACCTTTGAGAACATCCAAAGAATGCACATCACTTCTATTTTCTTTCAGCTAATCTTTAGTATCTTGTAATTAAGGTTCAGATATAAGCATATTTTGGTCTTCAAAATCCTTATCTTATGCAAATTTATCTCCAAAAGTCTTCACACATGAAGATTCGTAGTAACAGTATGTCAGTTCAGTCTAATTTCGACTTATCAACATCGACTTTTTTTGGTAAGTTATCTATGTTATTGAATGTTTTGAAAGTTTGATCAAAATGTTTCATGCGATCAAATAATCATACTAAAAACTAGTTAATATGATTACTATATTTTTATAACTACCTTGTAGCTATCAAAATGATATTAAATATTTCGATTTTTGAATTTTTTTATATCAATTTGAAAATGATTTAAAAAATTTCTTGAATATAGTAATACCCATTGAAATAATATATTAAATATTAACAACTCTTTAGCATAAAAGAATACAATTGAGAATATTTTTTTGAATTTTTGAATATTAAGAAAAAAATATCAAGATAAAACAATTATTTACATATTTGCTCAATTTTCTATACAAGACAATTTTTTATTTCATACCATATTACTATTAATTTATCAATGACAAAATTCAATGTTTTTGAAAAAAGTTGATGTCAAATAATTTAAAGCCAAAGAATTACTTGATGGACCTCATACTGAAACAAATACTTAATTCTATCCATCAAGTTTTGTTTTATCCGATGTGATTCCATTGATGACACATCGTCGCAAAGTTCAAAAACTTGTACATGTACATATATAATGCAAGCTCTAGTTATAGACTCTGAAAGTTTGTATCCGATCTTTTAAGAAAAGTTGTAATTGAATGAAGTGATTTGATAAGCTTGATGACCAAGTTGATAGCTTGGGTTTAGATGAAAAAGTCACAAAATAAAGACTTGAAACCTTGGAGATTGTGATCTTAATGACATTGTGGCAATGACATTTTTTGATTGGATGGAGAAGCTTACACTCCCGATTGCGAAAAATTGTTCCATCCGATTCACGATGAAACTCTCGCAATTAGCTCCATAATGTATTCCGTGGTAGGATCAGATGTTTAGATTCTTCTTCATCTACTCCCAATGAATTCATGCAGATCTCACTTTCATGCAGTGGATCACGCAGATAGTGCAGATTTGTCTAAAATAACTATCCAAGCCATCTTTTTGCATATCAAGGATCGATCAATTTGGCCATCAAAAGTCTCACAAACGCAGTAGCTCAAGAAAATTGCGGACATTCTTCAATGCAACCGATTGTCATATTCAATCATATCACTAATCTGAATATCGCAGGAGATCCAAAAAGTTGAGTATTTCAATCTTATGATAAAGTCACTTCTCTCAATTGCTTGGATGGATTGTACTAATCAAACATGAGCATAACAAAGTAAAGTTTGACATGTATCTAGTATGGATTTCACAATTGGATTGGTTATTTCTTAGATCACAACATTAGCAAAATTTGTGACCATGAAGACATTATTACATCATTGATCAAAACCTAATCAAATTTGAAATGACTATGTATTTATAAGGTAAGCATATTAATTGATAAAGAAAGTATTCGGAAAAAATGCTGGCAAGAGTAGAAGTCAGGAAAGTATGTTCTAGCTCACTTCATGCACATATGTTTCATACAATCCGGGGTAATTGCGTAGGGTTCAAATTAAACCTCGATGCATTTCACTTCATTTTTCATGCAACCACGGTGTTGGTACTTTGCCAAAAGCTCGATCCAAATGCAAAATCCAATATGATGATTATACATAAACCTAGGATGTGACAAAGGTGAGCTGCTCACAATGCTATACGTCCAATGTTGAGAAGCGCAATGCGCAATAATCTAAAATTGTCAATCTAGAAATGGATTTTGCATTCTCTACATATGAATTCAATATACATGTAAAATCATAAATAAAAAAATTCCATGAAATATTCATGATTTTGTATAACACAAAAATTTAATCATCAAATTTGCTATTAAAGCTGCATTGTCAACTTGGTGGAGTTACAATATCAATTAAAAGAAGAATATATGTGATTTGTAGACATCTATAACGAACAAATGAAAACACTATAGTTACATGCATCGAAGGATACTATCACTATTGTGAGGTCAAAAGTGTTTAACTAGTTGAGTAACTATATGTGATTTGGATGGACTAATGTATTTGCTAAAATTTGGATGTGTTTCTTACAGCGTGTTATTTTGCATCATTGAACATGTCAAACTACCTTGCTACATAATATATTAATACACAACTTTTCCATAGATTATCTATTGATGAGAAAATATAAAATATTTGTGACTGACTACTTGGATAATGAAAAATCTGATCTATTCTTAAAGTTTTAGTCTTACATATTACAATTCACCTGGAAGAGAAAACCAATCTTACATATGCCCAAATCAATCTGCAATGATCATGTTTTAATCTTTGGTGCAACTTGGAATCTAAACATTTTAAATGTATTGGTGTCATCAGTCAAACTAATCTCTATTATATTCTATTTGTACTTAAAAAAACATTGAGGTATGATCGTATGATGTAATCAATTTCACTTTGAAATCTCAATTTGAAATTTGTGATTGATTATTAAAATATGGTCAACAACTTTAATTCTTAGCTTCTAGTGATATATTAAACCAACTAATACTGTACTTCTTTTTCAAGATTTTACTGAGTCATCACAAAAAGCACCTTTTTCTAGATTATTTTGAATTAAGTATATCAAGTGAAGTTCTTACATGACCAAGAAGATGCTGAGTTGTCAAATTTATTGACTAGAATATTTAGCAATTATTTCTCATAGCTTTATTTAAAAAAACTAAATGAAAGATCTTCTAATGGTGATTTGATGATGAATGAAAACTACAAAGAGTAAAGGTAATTTAAACCTATATATTTTCAAGTGAAGACCATGTATAAAGGTATGGTCACATCCAAGTAAAGAGTTTACCCACATAGAAGGCTAAAAAGTGAGCACTAATACTACATGATCATGCCAAGAATTTGAAAACAAGATTATGTGAATACTCTAAATCTCTTCCTTTGGAATAATCTAATCTGATATATTATGTATTCAATTTGAGTATTCTTCTTGTATGTCACTACGAGATGTGCCAAAATTTTTCATTCCAGGGAGCTTTCAAATCAAAAGAATGTCAAGATGAAAATGGAAAATCTTGAAGTTCAAAGAGTTCCCAAAGTGAGGGAGGCGTCTCTCTTGTTTCATTGAACTTGGCCAATACATGGATACCAGGGGTTTGTTCAAGCCGAAATTGTAGTCCTTACACAAATCAAGAATGAAGAACGATGTCATCAGTTATTAAATTATGAAACCAGCATGTCAGTAGCGACATGCCAAATTTTCTGCACAAATATAAGAACAAAAATTCATGAATTGAGCTGAGCATTATGATGTGACAGCTTCTTCTAAAAAAGATTTTGCCGTGCTTTTGATCATGTTGATCAAGTCTTTTGCTATATGGTGTCTTGGTTGCTGTCTAAAGGCAAGTGCGGCCATTTTCTGTATATATTCACCTGATCAAGACTTTTCATTGAGTTTTAAAGAACCTTCTATGAGATAGGTAGGGTCACTTTTACGAATTAGCATGGAGATGTTGATGGCAGTTTCCAAGCTCTGAGAAGGTGTTTAGATGAGAAGTTCACATCTCCCAAACAGTGAATATACTTAGATCCATAAATTTGGTTATAGAAACCAGTCCTTCAATATTGAGATTTTCATTGTTGATATAGGAACATATGAAACTAAAATTCATGACATCGCGAAACTTGATATAATTGACGATGATAGTCTTGAACTATGTAGATGAGATAGTGCTTTTCTTTAGAAGATCATGGAATTTTCAAGATCATTTGGATGCAACATAAGTGTTCTCAATACTTTGATTTCAGGTGAAATTTCTAAATATCTAAGGTGATGGTTTTTTATACAAGAGCTATTTACTTTTTATCTGTTTAGATGTCAAAAATGAGATTCTGTAGTGAATTTTAAATACATAGACAAAGATTTCTGTTATCTTTAGGGTTGCAAACTGTGCATTGAGAAGAGAGTTTAAACGTGTTACACTTCTCTCTATGCAATTTAAACTGTGTATAACTTTTTAACCCATATGTAATGCTACTTAATAATAATTTTGATACAACTTCTAATAGTTTTGCTTTTGATTCATAGAATTCAAGTTTGGGGACCTGAAACCATGAAAATATTGAGGAGAACACGACTTATGTCTACAATGAATTTTACTCTTTGTTTTTATGTAATACGAGTAGACTCTGGATAGCGTATGGAACTTTAAAATATGTCGATTTAAAAGTGAATCATTTGAGTATATAA